TAAATCGACGAAATTCTTGGTGAAAAAGTAATTTTTACGTTGCACAGTCAAGGATATGGAGTATAAAATCCCGACTTTTTCACGTAATTTATCAAATGCCACTTAAATTGCACGCTTCTGCGATTGAATTTTGCGAGTTTTTCACTACAGTTAAAAAGCCCGCTATATGCAATCTCTATGATAGATGGGGAGACTCGGAAGGAGTGCGAGGATAGCAAGTGCTAACAGCAATCAGCCATTGACAAGGCTGACAGTGACTCTCACTTCGATGATTTTTTAAAACAAACTAATGAAGTCTAACTCAGTGGTATGTATACCACCAGAAGCTAAAATAAGGACTAGTTCTCTATTCAATTTTCCCATTCTTAAAAGGGAAATTTCAGCATTTCGTGGACAAAGGCAGCCTCATCTCTTTGTGTAGTGAAAATTTTGACACCTCTTGTCCCGCTCCCCCCTCCCTCTCTCCCCTCTTCCCCCCCCCCTCGCTTCTCAGCTGCTATTGGGGGATGTATATCCAGAATCTATCCACTCAGCTCAGGTGCAGTGTAGTGGGTTAAAAGTATAACTCATCAAATGCATCATTCATCATTATCATCCTTTTCTATCCAAATGCCTTACTGATTTCGGTCATCTCCTGCGAATCCTTTTCGGGTCGCTTTCGTCGACCGAACACTGATTCACCGCCGAAAATACAGCCCGGAGCACCGTAATGAGGACACAGATCGCAGTAGGCCAGATCGATGCGATGTCGTCCGTACAGGCATTCCGGTGCACCCCATTTCGGGCATTTATCACAATCCGGACTGCAGTACTCACCCCGACGAACGATATTCCGGTGCTTACAGTCATGGCCAGGACGTGGATTACGTGGATGGAGGACAACGGTTCCCGGTTCTGGTACTTTTTTACTGCTCAAAATACCACCGCCCAAACCGGAGAGCAGTGCTGCTCTGTACGCATGCATTTTGGAAGCTTCGCTGCCACCAGTGCTGGTGCTGCTGCTGCTATCACCATGATAAGAAAAATGTCGTCCACGACGGGTGATTTCTTTAGCAGGTGAATTCACGGTGGAGCTGCGCTGTGACTCATCCTCCTGGATTGTGATACTGCGCCGTTTGGGAACAGCCGAAACTGGTACCACCACATCGACGACTGGATGAATGAAAAAAAAAATAACACACTACTTGCTCACAACGCATAATACTTAAATGCTTCCAAAATACGACTTATTTTCATGGCCAATTCCCGGGAAGACGCTTGAATTTCATGGTCAATTTCCAGATCAAAATTTTTTCAGTCTTTTTTC